AAAATATAAAACAAATAATGAAACGCGCCGCCATGCAATCGTGGGAGAGATGACATCAGAATGACGTTTTAGCCGACGTACACTAGCAATAGCATTAAATTGCATTGTCAATGAAAATCTTATGACAGGGTAGATTTTAGATGAGCATACGAAAACGCTGCAAACGGAAACCTTTTAATTATATAGATTTAAGATGATTTTCATCTTAGAACTAGCTTTATTCAAGGTTTTTTTTCCCGCTTGAAAACCCTAAGACAACCTCGTTTTAAGGTTGTTATGTTGAAGGTTGTTTTCCAAGGTTTTGGATTAGGGTAATGTGCGTAGAATAGAGCAGATTGTCGCAGACCTCGTTTTAAGGTTAGAAGGTTTACACGTAAACCGTGTAAAAAACCCTTTTTAGGTTTGCATTAAAAGATTTTTGTTGTGTTGAAAAAACCTTATATTGCTATCTGGGACAGAATCCTCGCCAGGATCACCGTAAAGATCTAAGAAGGACTGCGAAGCGGAAAGAATCATCGCAAGGATAGAATGATGCTTTCTATGAGGAAAATGCCTAGTAAACAGCGTTGCCTAATGGAATTTGTTCCGATAGAAGGATGATTACTACGATGAGAAATGCCTAGTAAACAGCGCTGCCTGATGGAATTTGTTCCGATAGAAGGATGATTACTACGATGAGAAATGCCTAGTAAAGAGCATTGCCTAAAGGAGTTTGTGGCTGTGGAACGACAGCATCGACGGGTGCTGAAGAGACGGTACTGGAATGGGACTTTTATCGCCGGAGGAGATACGAAGCCTGAGCTACCACCCTATTACACAGAAAAAGAAGGTAAAGACTCTCTGCCGAGGAGGGCAATTGATAGCATGATGAAGGGAGGTAAGCTTTATCTTGTGCATGAAAGAAAGGAATTACACGCTCACATTTCCATCGTTGAAGAAATTAAAAAAGGGGTAGTTAGTTAAAGGGATAAGTTTATTCCGTTTTAGTTTAAAGTGAACCTGATGTTTTATTTTATTTAAGCTTAAAGGATTGGCCAATTAGCTATAGTATTGTTTGTATGATTAATGAGTATGATAATTATTGATGAGTTTAATAAGCAATGATTTGATGTTTTTAAAGTATTTCATTGATTTCGTTTACTTAGAATATATTTTTGATGAAAAAAAGATGTCCTTCACTTCTACTTACTCCACCCCCACTCGAGGGGAACGACACTTCCTGTGTCCCTCACCCTCTGACACTCAGGACAAGGGTCGATCAAATGCGTGAGAGAGGAATCAGAGTCCTGACAGATAGCAATAGGGATTATGCACAATAATAGAAAATGTTCATTTTGCTTTCATTTGTTCTCCTTTATGGATAATAAAATCTGATGGAAATTTTGCAGTCGCCCAATATTTCCTATGGCATGTTAACATCTTTTATTTTAATTTAATATATGACTGAGTTTCAACGAGAGGTTAATATTAAAAGGAAATATGGGACATTATATACATATATATGCAGTGTATGAGCAAAACTTTTCTAACTTTAACGCTTTTATTAGCAACACACTTAAAAAAGTAATAGAAAGTAAAGGAATATTTTATTTATGCTACAATAATAATAATAATAATAATAATAATAATAATAATAAACANATATATATTTCTTAAAAATAATTTTTAAAAATTGTTCACGTTCGGGCTCGAAACCCGGACTCTCGGGATTAGCAATTTGTTACTACCCAATAACTTTCTATCGGTACTCGAGCCTGCTATCATTTGATCAGTTTTTGTAATCAGTCTCTTTTTGATCAATATTCGAACCCACTATCATTAGACCAGACTTAGAACTCATTTCTTTAATCAATGCTCGAACTTGTTATCTTTCTCTAGAAACCAGCCAAAATGTCATCAATTCAAATAAATTTCGAAAATAATCTCTTTTAATCCATACGGGGATCAACTACTTTTTTATTGGCACTCGAATCCGCTATCATTTGAACAGTTTCCGTTCCCATTCATTTTTGATCGATACTCGAACCGACTGTCTTTTTATTGGGGACTATTTTACTGGAAACTGCTATAATTTGATTAGTTTTCAGAACCAGTCTTTTTTTTTACCAATATTCGAGATCACTGTCTATTTTTCATTACTCGAACCGCTGTCGTATGAATTGTTTCCGAACCTACTCTTTTTATCAATACTTGAACTCATTATATATTTGTATCAATAATTGCTGTTGTTGTTGTTGTTGTTACTTTACGTCGCACTAGAGCTGCACAATGGGCTATTGGCGACGGTCTGGGAAACATCCCGGAGGATGATCCGAAGACATGCCATCACAATTTTGATCCTCTGCGGAAGGGATGGCACCCCCGCTTCGGTAGCCCGACGACCTGCGCGCGAAGTCGAGCACTTTACGGTAGCACAGTTTAACGAGGACCAATACCGCACACCCTCGGTCCCTACGCAGACTGATCCAAGTGGTCACCCACCCGCACACTGACCGTAGCCAGTGATGCTTGACTTCGGTGATCTGCTAGGATCCGTGTCTTAACGATCAGTCCACTGCGGGACGTATCAATAATTGCATCTCCTATACTCAGAAACAGTTTTTTTAAACCAGATACCTCTGAATGATACTCTAATCCACTATTTTTTGTATCAGTACCCGAACTTGCTATAATTTGATCAGTTTTCATAGACAGTCATTTCTAACCAGTGTTCAATCGCATTATCTTTTGATCAATACACCAGCCTGCTGGCATTTGAGCAGTTTTAAAACTCCCTTTTGTTTCTCACGGTACTGTAAGTTGCTATAATTTGATCAGTTTTGAAAACTGGGCTATTTTATCCACTAATCGAACCCGTTATCTTTTAATCAGTACCCGTTTCATTAATCCACTTTACACCAGTTAACTTGGATGGCAGGCTTTTTACATAATTTTTACAGATTTCGAGTAAACCTTATTATGCACCATTGCACGCCTCCTAATTTGTATATTATTATTTTTCTTAGTATCATTGTATAATTTTAATCTGTCTAAAAATCGAAATAGAAACTAACGCACTTCCTTCTCTAAATGCAATTGTAAGTGGTGCCATATTTTCGCCATTGCATTGCCACACTGCGCCATCTGCAACTAATTTTGATCGAAAAAAACAACAGGACAAAGGCTTATAAGCCATTTTTATGCCATTGAGCACACAAGCTTACATGTATGTGTATTAATAAATAAATAAACATAACTGATTAGCTGTATTCGTAACTGATAAAAAAATTGGAAAAAACATGGAGTGTTATATTTTTCGGAAACTGTGAGACATGCGGAATTAATTAAATCAAACAACAATCAAAATGGATGCTGATTTGGTAAATATTTTGGAATTTTTATTAAAAAAACTATATTTAGTTTTTGATACTTAATTATATTTGTGCAATAACATGGCGACAATTATATACTGTGAATTTCCTCAACTATAAACGATATTTTTTTCCTTTGATTAAATTTCATGTACTTTACTTTTATTTAATCTTTTTTAAATTATGAACTTTCATGTTTCTATTTCCACAAACAATCAATTTTAACATTCATATAGTCTTATTTACGAGGATCAATGACCATACCCGAAATCAATCTCACTAACAAACAACATTTACTTTAACTATGTTTTTAAGGGAAATGTTGTCATCAACATATTTTTATAAAGATTTTATTTTGTATTGAAGAACTTTAGTTTTGAAGTTTCGGCATCTATTCAACTTCAAAGCATATCAGTATTTATGAATATTGAAGGTAACATCTTTAGTTGGAGAACTTATTTAAATGCAAAGTTAATGGATATTATCTTTTGAATGTGTATGAATATCAAAGACAGTTTACAAAACTCTTTTCCATTGAAACCAATTTTATATGCAATGACAGCGCATCTGCTAGTAGCATATGTTCTTATAATAAAGAGTGTTAATATATCAAGCAACTTATTCTATATCAGCTCTATTTCTATTAAGTTGCGGTTCTTGTTCAGGACAATTGCGATTACCGAAACACCAAAAAGTTTTTTATACTTGCAAAAAATCTTAAAGAACTATAATTTTTTAAGCAGATTGACTTCTAGTTTTACCCTTTATGTTTGATCTTTTCTCACTTTTTTTTCTTTTTTAAGTTTCTGGGGTTTATTGCCTATTTGTTGAGGAGATTTCTGTATCGTGATCTGTGGCAGAATAATTGCCAAGTCTTAGCAACTTCCAGGCAGCGGCCCGTGAAAAACTAAAAAACATCACAGAAAGGGGAACAATTTGGAAAGGTATAACTCGTAACCGCCCCGGGTAAACATCTACACGTTTTTTGAAAAAAAATTTAAGTTTTAAATTTTTTTAGCACTTTAGGAATTGTAGTTGGCGCACCAGATAACGATACAGAAATATCCCCTATTTGTTGCTGAAATTAAGTTGTTGTAATAATATTCTGTTAAAAGGTTCGCCAATAATTTTCTGATCTCAACTTATAATTTTCTTTTTAATTGCTTCTCAATATTTGGTGTTAATAATCATATCAGGGAAGCAGAATATGTCTGACTACACAAAGGAGACTTCAGAGAAAATCCAGGCAGCCGTGGAAAAATTTATGGTCTAAAATAAATTTCTACGCAATTTTTTGTTAAAAATATGTGTTGCCTTGCAAAACTTTTTCTTGTTTAAAACACATATTGTTAATTTGTGTATTTAATAGTAAGTTTATACGTAAGGGGACTTAAATTTAATTTGATAAATTAGTACTAGGTAGAGTCTTGATGATTCGTGGTGGATCTTTGTAATAGATAATAATTATCCTTACACCACAATTTTGGGTTTTTAACAAAACTACTCGTATGACTCGTAATGTCCGACTCGTATGACTTTGTCGTATGTGGTTTTCTCTTTAATATTTTCTCAGTTTTTGTCATGATTTTCAGTTTTTAAAATTCTTCTTGTATGTTGAGGAGAAAAAAAAAATTTTTTTTTCTTTCTTACTTATAACTTTATAAGTATTACTTTTGTGTGTCTATGTTGAAAAAAAAATGAAGTCCTATACATTGGGAACAAAAATTTCAGATAGTTTCTTTCAGCAATCACATGTCTGTGCAAACAATAGTGTTTTATTAGCACTTTTCATTCTTGGGAGGGTATTTACATAAACATTAGGGGCACATACAAAATGATGTGTAGAACAAAATATGCAAATTATTATATAAATATTGGTGATCCAATCCATATTCAAGTAGACAGTCATATTATATCAGAATATTATGCATTTGTCTCTGTAATTCAGAAATGAGTGCTGGAGACAGTAATGACATATTGCTTTTATTTTATTTATTAAAAAATATTTTTTAAATATAGAATGTGTTCAGTGCATTTTTTTAAATTCCTTGGAGTATTTTAAGCAATACATACCAATACCATTAAATATATTAATGAGAAATATTGCTTAAGGTCGCACAAGTTAACAATTTGAGGATATAACCCTTTTATAATTTTTTTTCATTTGCAGCGATTTCTAAATCTTGAAGGGTTAGATGCAACTCAAGCTAACCAGATATTGTTTCTTCTGCACCCTTCAAATCTTTGTCCAAAAATTGAAGTAAGTATAGCTTTTCATGTGACAAATAATCAGAATATGGTCTATGAGGGAGAAATTTTTTTTTTAGAGCAATTCTTCTGTGAAAAAATGTGTAATAAAAAAAAAAGCTATTTTCCTGTAATTTATTTTAACTTTATGCGAGTTTTTTTTAAATATAACTTTTTTTAATAATTTATGTTATCCTTATTTGTTTAAGAGATTATTTTTTGTTTTGCTTTGCTGAATATTATTTAAAAAAGCTTGCTGCTAAATATTATTATTGAATACTTTTACTGATTGTTATTTTGTATTATTTAAAAAAGTAAAACAAATTACTTTATAAAATATTAATTTTAAAAAAGAAATTCTTTCTTGTTTTTTTATTTTTTACTGTTCATTATTTTTTAAGGACCCATGCATTTTTTAGTAATTTCAGATATGATATATTTTTTATTATTTAAACATACAAATATTAAAAAAAAAAGCTTTGAAGTTGTGTATATGAAAGCTTTAATGTGGTGTGTGTAACTTTTTTTATATACACACATCATTTTGGCCAATTTAATTTATTTTTCAAGTTTGTTCACTGCTTTTGGGGCATTTTTTTCTTTTGACAAAACGATTCAGAATATTAAAGTATTTTTAATATTATAAGTTCTCCAAAACTTATTTGGCATAATTTTATAACAATAGATTTTAGTGTGCACTCTTATATTCTAAATGCTTTCATACTCTAAAGAAATGCTTGTGGTATTTTTAATTTTTTTTTTTGTCAAGCTAACAAAACACGAGTCATAGAAAAAAAATTTAAGTGGAACAAAGCAGATTAGGAGGTCGTAGAATACATTGCATAGTCTGATTTATATGACCACATTGCTAGCATTATTGCATTCAAATGTTTTGATATTTTTTAATTTGTAGATTAATGATCATTTTAAAAGTTTTTATTGTGTTACATTTAAAATATTCTTGAATAAATTGCCATAACTTTTTTATTCTTTTTTTAAACATATTTCAAAGTATTAGTAGTTCTAAAAAACTACAGTAAAAAAAATGTAACGAGGGAAAACACAAAATTAGTTACCTATAACACGTTAGAAGCAGCTTTTAAAAGAGGTAAATTGATACAGAGTTATTCTTATCTATCTCATTGTTTATACTGCATCAAATATTTCATGATCAACAAATGTTCGATTTTATTACCAGTGTGAGGTCGAATAATGAACCAATATAGTCGAATAATGAACCAATATGCGGGGTATAATTTTTATGAATTCTGTCTCAGATGTCAGCACTTTATTTTAGGGGTGGTAATCGATTTTAGACTTTACTGTATGACTTTGGTTCTTAAACGAATAGAATGATTATGTGAATTACTCAAGTGATTTTTTTTTATAGTTCCCATGGAGCAGCGTTTGTTGTAATGGTGATGAAGTGGATAAAAAAGGTGATGTGTATTTTTATTAAAAAATTCATTTTTCAAGAATCTGTAGCAAATTTATTATCACTCCAAACAAATAGCTGGAATAAGCTTTTTTAAGTCCTAGTGTGTAATAACATGTTTTGTTTTAGCATTTAACACGTTTTGTTTTAGCACTGTTAAGTAACTTTTAGAACTCCACTATTTTATCTTCTAAAATTTGTTTTTAGAAGAATGCAGTAATGAATTGTAATTATTTTACAAATTTATATGATTAGTAAAAGGATTTTATTATTGTAATCTTTTGTGAGATCAAGAATGTGAGGTACAGTAGTCCACCAAGGTTGGACCCTCAAAATATTCGCCATTATTCTAGTTATTTATCATAGTGCATAGCATTTTTAAAAAAGTGCTTAGAGGTGCTTGTTTTTTATTTGCGTTTTTTAAAAGCCCTTAAAGGTTCTTTTTTAATTCGGGGTTTGTAAAAACTGCTTAATTTTCTATATTTTAAAAAGAATTTTTTCTTTTACTGTATCAATTGTCATTTATACATGATTTTCACAATTTTTTCTGCAATGTTTATCAGAATCTAGTTATTTTATCATGATTATGTAAAGTCTTTGAAAATGTTTTCGAATTTTATTGGTTTTATGCTTATAAATTAAGAATTTTAAACAATATAAAAAACTGCTGTTAGGTTTGAGTGCTTAAAATTTTGTTGTAGAACAATCTGTGCTCTGTTGTATAGCTGGTATATCTAAACTGTTCTACTTTGAGACTTAAACTTGCTTAACTTTTTAGAATATCACTAAAGTCTCAAAAAATAATTTTGCTCTTATTTTTTACAGGAAATAAATCATTGAATGTCCATGCTCCAGTATTTGAAACACATATTCCTTTCAAAAACCTCTCCAACACCTCACATCAAGTGTATTTTTCTTTGTACAACAATGGCTCCAACTTTTCAGTTCCTATTGCTAAGAGTTCCCCATCTTTTTATGCACACGAGAACCGAACTAAATTGCAGTCTTTTTCTAATGGCGTAAACCACGAAGTCGGTGATTTTAACGAGTGTGTTTCACCGTCTCAGTCATCAAAAACAGTCAGTAGTGACAGTGGTTATTCAAATGACAATCCTGTATCATCATCCTTTAAATTAAACCCCACGGTTTCTTGTTTTGTTCCGCAAAGCATAAGGACAACCTGTGTTCCATCTGAACCGCCAATCAAACCTGTTTTATCACATGAATCTATTGACAAACTACAAAAATTTAATGAGTCTTCTCAACCTGTTAACTACGATCTGCTCCAAGAGAAGGTAGTACAAGCACATGAGGAGAGGGAGTGCATCGCAGTCCGTGCTGACCAAACTGTTAGTTCCGATACCTCGCCTGCTCAACGCGAGGATGGTGACCTTGTGGCAGCAACAACTACTACTGATGCAAGTACAGAGAATTCAAAAGTCACTGTGAAGCCTGTGAATCGTTCTTGGGCACAAATAGTTCAGAGCGGACAGCCGTCTGCTGTTCCTTCTGCCAAATCCTCCTTAGAAAATAACTGCAAAAACAGAAAAGAGGTGAAAAATGTAGAAAAACTGTCTATAGAGGATGATAAACTAGCTCTTGTGCTGGGAAGTATGTAGTCATTCTTTTTTTAAGATTATTTATTACGTAACATTTTATTTTGATATCGCCTCTCTTTATCGTTTACTAATTAACTGTACTCTTCCACTCTTGTTTTCTTGCTACATAATGCATGGAATTTTGAGTTTTTCTTTGGAAATTTGGAAAATACAAAGATTTTTTTTCTTAATTTTGTTTTTCAAAAACTGAGCACTCAAAGTGCGATCTACCATGGTGCGTTGTGTTTTTGAAAATTGCTTAAAAGTGCTTATTTTCGTTTTTTAATAGCCCTTAAAGATCCTTTTTCCCTTGGGTGTTTTTGTCTCTAATTTTCCCTTTTGAAAATTAGATTTTTTTTTTCTCTTTCAATTTTGCAAGCTTTAATTGCACTGTCACAGAGGATCAAGAACATACAGAATAGAGATTTTTTGCTTTTCGCATTATTCTATTATTCAACTTTTTCACAATTCATTCAACCACAATCTATTTCAGCGTACCATTTGTCCATAGCATCAATCGATTGTTGAATCGGAAGAAAGCGCCAATCATTTTACATGTTTAAGGAAATACTTGCGATTCTGCATGTGCATACAGTGAGCTAGATTCGGTGAAATTATAGCACTCTTGTATGCAACTCTACAGCATTTTGCAAGATATTCTCAATTTCAAGCTTCATTCTCTCTGAAATCGAACCAAAAAATCTCTTAATCATTTTTTAATGGCTAATATAATCAAGAAAAGAGTTATTCGTCAAAAACTAGTTATTTTATCATGGTCATGTAAAGTCTTTGAAGATTATTTTGCATTTTGTTGATGTATATTGTGCGCTTAAAAATATTTTTGGGTGCTTAAAAAGTACTTAGAAGGTGCTTATTTTTTGTTGAAAGATTTGCCTATGGGAAATTTAGGGATGATATTTCAGCCATATTAAACTACTTTATTTGCTATAGCATTATTTGTTTTAAGTATGTTCCTTTTTTCTCTTAAGTTTTTTCGGAAATTATAACTAGTGTAGCTTGCCCAATACAGATCATGAAAGAGCACAATGATTGTGTTTTTCCTCTTAATATATTGTGCATAATACATACTGGGAATTTTTTTCCATATTTGAGTGGCAACCCTGTTTTGTCTCTCTTGATTTTCTCCTGTTTTGCTCATTTAATAATTAGTGGTACTGTTCAACTCTTGTTTTCTTGCTGCATAATAAAATTCCTTTTTGATGCAGCATACAAGGTTCTATGAAGCAGAAAGTTTGCTTTTCTATGATTGCTGCTCTAATTCACATTGCATTTTGTTTTCTGAAATTTGTGAAAGTACTTAATTAAATTTATTTGATTATATATTGCAATGTATTATGTTGCGATAGGCTATATGCATTTTAAAATTTTCTTTGTAACTAAAATAAATAATATGAAAGTAGTTATTTTAGATTATTAGTAATTTTATAAGAAATTTTATTTATAATCGATTCTTATAAAATTTATTGCTAAAATATTGTTTTGGTTATTTTCCGTTTCTTCTATTTTTGACTCTTGTTACTAGTTTCGACCCTTTTGTCGCCACCAATTTTAATTAAATTTATTCGGAAATCACTTTTAAAAATGTTTAACTTTTTTAAAAGCAGTATTTTTTTTTGTTGTACCATGGGTGCCACTCTTCAGTCCGGAATAAAAGTCAGTGGTCTAAATTTAGTCCTCCAATTAAAATCTATTTTTAATTATTATTTTTTTAATTAATCATTCAAAAACTTTTTTTTTCCTGTTTTCCTAGAAAATGTAACAATTACTTTCAATTAAGAATAAATTTTAAAAAAATTAATCTTTTCTATAACTGTAGCTGTATTTTTTTTTTCTGATGTGTTAAAGAAATTTATAGAGCTAAGATAAAAAATAGTAATGAAGTGAAAAATAGAGATATAAATGACTCCAAGGTATTTATTTAGCAATTATTGTAAAATGATATAGTAAGCTAACTGTTATATATGCTTTGTTTGCCTTAAAAATGGACTAATAAGATGGAGAAAAATACATATTCTCTCTTAAGAAAAAATAAACTTGTCATTGATATATATAAGGCCCATTCTTGTGGAAAGATACATTTTGCAGTTGAGCTATTAATTTCCGAAAATTCTGCCAAACAAGGCTAGACCGTGTTAATTAGTCCAAAAAAAGTTCACTGTTGGCGTATATATATATATATATATATATGTTTTTTTTTTTGTTTTTTTTTTAAATACCCTTGGTTATGCATATCAGCATATGTTTCTTTAATTTAGCAGTTTTATAAAGATTAAATTATCAAAAGTGTTATTGATTTACTTTTGTTATTTGTATTAATTTCTGTTAATATAAATAAATGTTAATTGTTGTTTAAAAAATTATGTTATTGTTATTAATATATTTTTATTGGACTTTCTCTGTATATTCTTTCTTTGTATACATAAATAATCGCTCAAAAACATTTCAATGCAAACATTTAATAAGTATTTTTATCAGAATAACCTTTCAATTCTTCTATGCATAAATAATGAATAGTGCATTTCTTGCACTATTCATTTTACAATGTATAATAGTACAAAAATCAGAGTACTGAAACTGAATTATTTCAACATATTTTATTACTAAAAATACTATAAATGATGAAATTACAATGTTACCATTTAAGAAAAGAGTGATATATGTATGTATAACATCATAATTTCTTAATTATCTTTTTTTATTTAAAAATAAACAAGTAATGCTAAAAAGTGTTCTGATTGATAGTCCCGAGATTTCAGACACGTCTTTTGAATATCGTTTCGATTGGAAATAGTTATAAATAGATATATTTAAATTAAATCTTTAGTTCTTTTTGTTTATTCTTTATGAAAGAAAAATTTATTTTCTCTATTATTCAGAAAAATCTTTTTCCTGACTTGCCGAAGTTCGCAGGGATGAGATTCTTCCGCGGATTCGCGGATTTCCGCNTCAGAAAAATCTTTTTCCTGACTTGCCGAAGTTCGGATATTATACTTTCTACTGTATTGTTAATGTACTATATTAGAATATTATATTATTATAAATTATACTAACACACTTTTAAACAATTTCTGAAAATAAATTTAAATGAAAATTCGTTTTTCTATGTATTATGTAACAGTAAATTTTGTTGTAAAAGTTGTTCTAAAAAGGCATTTTGATACATTCATAAGATTTTTCCTGTTTTTATTATTAGAAATGGAAGTAGTATCTTTATTCTCTACTCTTTTGAAAAAATGTAATCTTTTTAATATGTTTTAGGGCATCTGCATGAATTAGAATTAGATTTTAAACCAGTGTATCTGCAACCTCGAGGGCTTATTAACCGTAGAAACTGGTGTTACATTAATGCTGTATCCTTTGTTATATGAATACCAAGTTTATCATCTTTATTATTACAATATTACAAGATCTGTGTTAGACCACAATTTATTTAAAGTATAGTCTTAAAAATCTAAATAATTTAGGTAGAGGCCCAAATTTATTTTTTTTAAAAATGCAATTGCTTCCATTGTGTATATACTTAAGGTTTTTTAACAGTACTTTTATTATTTTGAACATGAATGCTAAGACTTCATATTATCAAAATAAGTGGATATGAATAAAATATATAACTTAAAATTTATTATTTTCAAACTTGTTTTACTTTGGCTAAATAAAACCATAGAGTTAAGAATTTGAATTGGCTACTTTTTGATAAAAGTCTATAGCTAGAATAACTGTGTCTAAATATATATTTAGATATTAAAAATAGAACATTCTATTTTTAATGTACACTAAGTTGAAGAAATATATTTAAAATGAGATTTAAGTATATCATATGCAATTCAAAATCAAATACTCAAGTTTTTTTTCTTCCTTGTACTGTTAGCTTGTTTTGTTTGTGTTCAAAATTTAAAATGTTCAATTGACAGCTTCTTTTTAGTAAGAGCTTGCTTTTAAATGCAGAAAAAAAATTTCTTTCAAACTTGTCTATTATTCAAAACATAATAAATTAAAAATGTTTTTTTTTTTTAATGTTTTTTTTATTCATTGACTAAATAGTGCTACTTCACATATTTGTTAAGTAGCAGTAGTTACACTTACTTAAAGTAGTTAATCAAGTTACACTCGTGTAACTTGATTTGTAGCCACAAATCAAGTTACACTAGTATTTAATTAAGGTTTTATATTATTTTAATAAAAATCCAATATTTTTTCGGGATAGAATTTTAAAATTTGAAATGTCAGTTCTTTTGTACACCTATAAATTTGTCTTACTATATAATCTTGTATAGTTAGTCTATCTAAAGAGAAGCTTTTGATGCCCCGTTAATATTTATCGTAGATGTTTACCTCATAGTGCTCCTGAACATTTTTAGATAGACAAGCTATCCCGGTTTACATTAAATATTTTATTACTGTTATCCTTAACTCTAAGATGTTTAGACACTACAGGCACTATTTGGCTGTTCTCCATTTTATTCAATGATTAGGAATTTGCCTATTGGACCAGCTGTACAGCGGGGGAAATCTTCTACTCCACTTATCGATAGCATGTTAGTATTTATTTTCTCCTCAACCTACTGCTCTTGATCTTATGTGGTTGTATAATTCATGTGTGCAAAATTAAAAATCTGTTTTATTTAACTTGCAAGATTTTTTGGATTTTTTTTCCCTTCAAAATTTTAAGTGTTGCAACTGCATAAAATAAAATTTGCATCACTAAATTAATTTGTTAACAGAAATTTATTATACTAAAATCAGAAGGGATTCTGCACATCTTAAAAATTTAAATTTCATTTTCTATAGTTAGAATAATTTCTTATTAGCAATTTTAATGCTATAGAGCTTTCATCAGATCTTTTATTAGAATTAAATGGTCTGTATTTCAATCATACTGTTTTATTAAAGGATTTTTTTTTCAGGACATTTTCTTTTCAATACATGTTAAAATTGTAAAAAAAAAAAAAATTATCATTACTACTTTTCCATGGAATTTGATCTTGATAATTCATTCTGACATTGACAGTATTGTTTACGCAGATGTAGCTCATCACGTTGAATATTCAAGCAATTAAAAATCATTCGTTACAATTCGTGTTTATGCCATTTCTAATTGCCACACGCAGTTTATGATTTTAATTACACAATTTAATTTCTCATCCAAGCAACTCAAAACTACATATCCTGTAGAATGTGTACAATGTATAAATCGGCCAACATCAAACTTTGTATTCACGAGTTAATTCAGATAAAAGTTTTGTTATCTTGACTTTTATTATTTAAATATTTGTAAAATTAACATTAAATTTTTTAACAGATAATCGATAATTTTTTTTTTTTTTAATTTAATTTTTCTGAAGCTAGTCTTACTTATTTATTACAATAATTTTTTCACTATTTCTCAAGAGTGGTTTAAGGGTATGCCTTCTAGTCAAAATCTCTAATAACAATAATATTATTAAATGCGGATATTCTTGTTTGTTAAATGATGGTTTTAATTTTGTACTTTTATAGGTAAGTATTTAATTTCGTATCATATAACCGTCGTTGAACAGCCGACCTAATTTTGGGCTTACGACTTCAAATGTTCAACTCTGCAGCCTTGTAACTTTGGACCGATCCAGAAGAGAAAGAAACTCCTGGATCAGTACCCGAAGAAGTATGATTTCTTTTGGGAACACGGAGGACTTTGTGACCTAACAGATTTAACGTGCATCATTCACCATTTATTACATGGGGAGTCTTCGGTCAGCTGGTATCGAAGCCACGGCCTCTTGGGCTTGGATTCAGTGCCCTGCCAACTAAACTATTCAAGTCCCATAATTTAGTGATTGTAAAAGTTGACCAAAATCTAGGAATATGTGTGTCATCTACGTACATTTTTCTGCAGCTGAACTTTCGGGTATTTTTTTTCATGAGGCCACAATCAACTTCGACACTGTTTCGAGCTTTCTGCATCTAAACTCTCTAACACTAATGCCTTTCTGCAAGATACTTTTAATAATAACAAACGTATATGTTGCTAATTTAAAGTAAAAAAATGTGCTGTGTTTACAAAAAAAGAAAAATCTTTATTTTGTTAGTTGAACATGTAATATTTTTTAATTCTCTAATATTATAGTTGATATTCCCACATTTTTTGAAGGGGCATACTAATAAATTACTTTTTCGCATTTCGTAGATAGTCATCACATAAAAAATTAAAAATCATGAAGTAGTAATTACCGACAAAAAAAGAATGACGACAAAATCACACGAATAATCTGACTCTTCAAAAAAAGGGTTACATAAATGCTTATTTCGTTTTCGGGATTAGGTTGTTGTAATAAATAATATGTGAATAGTATCAGATTTTAATAACTAAGGGGAAATCAATAGCAATAACTGCCAAAAAAATATAAGAATCTTTGTTATAAAAAGTAAAAAGTGCATAATTCCAATTTTTAATATTGTCTGAAATATATCAGGATATTTAAAAACCACGTGAAAATCAATAACTTCCTAAAATACAATCGAAACATTACATGGATTTACGATATTATTGTCGTAAGTTTAGCACGTTAAAAAGTGGTTCAAATTTTACACATTTGTGCAGAAAAGAAAACCATGATTTTTTACTTTTCCGGAAAAAAATGTTCCCGCAAGAACCCTGTATCGTTCTGCGACGGTGTCGCTGCGATTCTGCCATAGGGATACTTGAAAGAGTATATTTTCATGTTAATTAACTATACAAGTGTTGAGCCCCTGGGCAAAATGTATCTGCTGAGTTTCTTTTCCATTGAATAACATAGGAAAAACCAGTTTTGTTGCAGGAAAACTTGCAGTAAAAGTTATCTGCTCTGAGATTTAGAAATTGAAACTTCTAATCTTTTTGATTTTACATAAGTTTTTTTTAATTTTATTTATTTGATACATACTGATATAAATTCATTACTTTCTTTCAGGGTAAAAATGACTTATGAATTTTCTGTGCTTCCCACCTCTCAAGAGGAAGTCCAAGTTGGGCAACCTTTTCAACCTGATATTATGTACGATATGCTGCGTGATTTAAAATCAGACTGCGTGAAGGTAAATATTCTGTGCTGTGGAAGTAAATTATGTTTGCTTCTGACATGGGCAGGGGTCTGTTTAGGTTTTTCTGAGAGGTACCTATTTTGTGAAAATTTGGACATAATTTGTGAATATTTAAAATTATATTAAAAAATCAACACAAGAATATGGATTTATCATTTCTTTTGGGATACAAAAATGAAATTTTAGGAAAAAGTATTTTGTTTCCTAAAGTCAAATTTGTGAAGGTACCGCTAAACGGTAGTATCCCACGATTGGTAAATTAGTTTTCGTGGTGGATCAGCTAACTGCAAATGCAATGAATCAAAGCTTACCTAGAAATGCATTGACTATCTGATAAGACCATTTATTTTTGTAAACTGCAAAACTCATCTACTAATCAAGTTTATTTTAATTTTTTTTATTATTATTAAGAAAGAAAGCATTTTGGTAATAACTCTATGATGGATGTCTAGTTCAAACTTTTAAAAAAAAATATTTTTTTTTTCAATATCTATGGATCAGAATTATCTGCTTCTATATCTTTGAACCATCTGTATTACAAATGCTCATCAATTTTAAAAGGTGGTTCAATTTTCTTTATAAAAATGATGTATATAGACAAAAAATTGTACTTTTATTTAATGGTTAGGTACATATTCTTGTAAAAATAACAATAGTAATTATAAATCATTCTCTTTTCTGTTAGTTTAGTTTTTGATTACTCAACATAGTTTCACTTTTTGATGCTGTTTTGAATTATCGATGTTTTGCTGTATCTCAATTATTGGCATATATTTTTTGATGAGTCATGGGATACTTATCTGCCTTTTTATTCAGGTCTTAAAGTTTTCTTGTTTTAAATTTAGTCAAACATAAATAAGCTATGATGTTTGATGTTTCAAACGTCATAATGTATGTTATAGTTCAAGACAAATCCTTAAAGCTATGTTTATTCAGAAGGAAAAAAAGTTTTAGTATCTATTTTCACAACTTGAAAGATCAACTGTATTATAGCATATTTGCGATCATCCCTTTGATCCTTTAAGTCCCAGAACGTGAAGACCCGATCATTAGATCAGAAGTTATTCAGGGTGGTCAGTTTTTTATTTTTTGCACTCTGCATATACATGTAATTTATTTCTTCTTGTTCAACCTTGTATCTTTGTTATATATATTATTTTATTTTATCCTTTTTTCTGTTTTTGGTCTTTATTTTCTAGGATTAAAAGAACAGGATTATTATAATTGCAAGTTTAGTGCTTGTTCTTAGATAATTTTTTTTTATTGAACTGCAAGCTTTCTCTCAGAAATAGCACTTTTTTTAAAATTTTATTTTGTTATTTTTTTTAGTAGTTATTTATTTATTATTTGTATGTGTGTTAAAGTTCTGACATTTTTTTTTCAAACTAACTGTATTATAAAAGATTTTACATTCTATTATGTAAATGAAAAATATCTCAATGTAGTTTGATAATTTTTTTTAATATAATTTAGCCCCCAAAAATTTCACTTTGATAGTTTTTTTTAAAAAATTTTTAATGGCAATTTTTATGTTACTATTTCGGTCATAGTTAATTGAAAAAGTTGAGCAGTCTTTGTAACCTTTTGTCTTTTTTCACTCTTATATGTCTGTGTATATACAGATGTGTGTTTTATAGATACGTAATCAAAATGAAGTTTTAAAACTAGATAGGATAGGATAAAAAAAAAATTTAAAAAAAAGGTTAGTCTCCATTAATCAACACATTAACAGACAATTTATATGAATTACATCTTTTTGTAGTTAATTGCTTACACTTTTAGAAATTATATGTTCTGAGAATTTTAAATTTTATAATTATGTTTCAGGCTCAATATAGTCAGCAGTTTCAGAACCAATTATTGAAACTAAATTTCTTTATTCAATTATTTTCAGACATGTAGATAAAATCTTATAAATTTCTGGGTGTTCTAAATTAAAACGAATAAATTGTAAGATATGAGTCGGTCCCTATTCTCTACTAAATATCTATTAGCTACTTTTATTTTTAGTTAATCTAGATCAATATTTTGAATGTTCATTCTGGATATTTTACAATTAAACTAAAAAAATTAATGTTTAATAATAAAGACCTCGAAATACAATCTCTTTTCGAAACTAATGCTTACATTAATCAGTTTTCCTTGGGCCATATGACATGTCATGTGACTATGCGCATTTGTAGCTGGCCCTCTAATCATATATATCACTGTAGCTCTTGAGATTATTCTGCCAATTATCCCCTCCCTAAAAGTAAACCAATTCGGATTTTTTTTTCTCTTGGTATGACGCCCTCTTAAAATCAAACATCGAGATTTACATAAATTTAGATTTAAATTTTCCTGTTCATATTTGCATGATTTATAAATTGCACATTGAAATTCCTATTTACACAATTAAAGTAAGTAAATAAAATATTGCATCGATATTTTTACTAAAACGTTGATAACATTCAGTAGTTAAATGCTTCCTACATACCTACATTGCTGCTTAAATTGTTACCTACATTGTTGCTTACTCGTCAATTATTTAACGAGTGTTTTTGCACATAAAATTTATTTCTATTTTCAGCTTTTTTTTATCAAAACTTATCCCTGTGGTATGATTCAGTGTAAATTTCTATAAAATTAGACATTAAAAAAATAAATCCCTGATTTTCAAGCAAATTTGCCAAAATTAGATGGCAGTGAAATGGTTGAAATGAGTTAATCAATGCTTGCAGAAAGTTTTTTGTTGATATTTTATGTTTTCAGAAAGTTTTTTCATTCTATCTAAATCTGCAAGTTAAAAAATCTGTAAAACTGTTCTAAATCTGACCGATATCTGCATTTTGATGAGCGTGTGCCTTAAATTCACATTTTATACTCTTTCAGGGGCAGCAAGAAGATGCTGAAGAATTTCTTAGTTTTATTTTGAATAACATGCATGAGGAAATGGTTAAAGTTATTAAGAATTATGAACAGATAAATTCCATTGCTTGTAAGTATTTTAGTTTTTAATAATAGTTGATTTTGTACCTCCAAAGAGATTAAATAAGTTTACCACAGTGTTTGGAATACATGGAATGGTTGGGGTTCTTTTTTTAGGGATAGAGGAGAAACATAAAAATTTAGAAACTAAAATTGCCCTTTCGTTTCGTGATATTTTAATTCTGTATTTGAATTTCTGTGGTCTGTATAGTTATGCTACAGGTTTAACTGTTACTAATTCTTACACGAATTATCGAATGTTTTATTATTTTTTATTCCATTGTACTCCTTGTACATTTTTCTACGCCCGTTTGTAATTTCCTGTTTCAAAGTCTTATAATTTTCGTGCAACAATACCAGGTGTAACAGGAAGTCCCAAAAAAACAGCGGCGGCTGTTACGACTTTTTATTACAAGTACATACATATACAGAGTACTTAGAGTTTTTAAAAAGTACTTAAAGGTGCTTATTTTTCATTTTCGTTTCTTAAGAGCCCTTAAAGGTACTTATTTCATTGGGTGTTTTTAAAAAGTATCCCTTTCCCTAAATGATACTTTTTTTCACATCGGTTTTTGCCACGAATTATGCAAAAAGCGTTCTCACACTATTCTATTCAATGTTTTCACAATTTATTCAACCACAATAATAGTATTATGATGTGCACGTTAATAAGAAAAGATTTTCCTATTATTGAAAGTTAAAAAGTGTGTATATATATGTGTGGATTTTCAATAGTAGGGGAAGAAAATGTATTAGTGCTCATATCCTAATTATATTTCGAGAGATTTTCGTATTGTGATCTGCGACAGAATATACGCCAAGTCTTGGCAATGATCCGCAAAAAACTATTAAATTTTTTTTAAAAGCATCACATAAAGGGACCAACTCGAGAGGTGTAAGGTAGCCACAACATCTACATGAACATGTTTTTTTTAAAAAAATTTAAAAATAATTTGCAAGTTTAGAATCTATTTGGCAACTTAACGATTGTAGTTGCTGCGACAGATCACAATGCTGAAATATCCCCTTATATCTATTTTAAATAGAGAACTTAAGAATATTTTTGGAGTGCTTAAGAGATGCTTATTTTCCGTCCAAAGATTTACCCTGATATATATATATATATAAATTTTTAAGTTGCTTCTAAATATAAGCTAACATGAATTGTACCTAAAAGTCTTAGGCTGTTCTTATTCCACTCTGGAAATTTCGAAAAATTTAAGTTTGTCTATAAAGTGTCCATCCTGTGTTATCCAGGTAATAATTTAAAATCTTTCTTTTATTAAAGTGGGAAATGAAGTGGATGAAAATGGTGATCAGAGTGAAACAGAAGAGGAAGAATGGCAAGTCATTGGATCAAAACATAAAGGAATGGTGACTAGAAAGGTTAGTATTTTAACCTGCTGTTCTTTTAAGGTAATCAGTGGGCCTTTGGGGACGAGCAAGAGAAAAAACATTTTGTTGGTTTATGTTCGGATAAATTTTGTTTTTCAGGAGATATTTCTAAAAAAATCTCCAACGCCTGTTCAAGGGTTAATGCTGAAAACTAACTTTTGGATAGTTTAAAAAATACAGTGTGTGTAGCTTTTTGTAAAAAGTGCTTAAAGGTGCTTTTTACATTGGAAATTTTTAAAAAGTGCATTAATTTTTCCATTTTAAAAATGAGATTTTTTCCTTATCGTTTTTTAATTTTTTTTACCTAATTAAGTAAAGTAATTATTCATTTAAAAAATAGAATGAGCCACATTGAACATATTTAAAATTGTGCATAAATTGTTTTTATGATGACTGATATAATAAAAAAAAGAGTTCTTTGTCAGAAACTACACGTATATGAGAAACTTACATCAATATAAAGTAAGAAATTTTATTAATGCTCATATCCTAATTATGATATTTTTTAAAGTGGTTGTAAACGTTCTAACAAGTAATTGATTAAGGTAATTACTTTGAATAAATTTCACTTTTAGATTGATTAATTTAATTGCATTTATTTTCATGATTAATTTGCTTATTAGGCTCATTGCACCAAAATTCTGAGGCTTTTTGAACTTCTTATGTCTGCATTTTGTACAAATATTTTTGTTAATTTTATTTTTTTAACATTTAAGAAAACATTTCTCTCCTCTTATAGGTTGCAGAACACAAAACTCCAATATCTGATCTTCTAGGAGGACAAATAAAATCATTCCTCACCACAAGTGGAAATAAAACTTCCGCGTCTATTCAGCCTTTTTTTACATTACAACTTGATGTTCAGGTATTCTATATTTTCTTTGAATCATGTTCGTTCAAGCTCCACTGGGAAATCCTGGAAAATACAGATAATGTAAAAACCGCCTAAAATAACAGGAAATTTTGAGTTTTTCTTTAGAAACAGGGAAAACACAGGGAATTCCGTTTCATATTTCCGTCTTTTAAAAAATGGTAACCACTCTATAGTGCACCTACCACTACAAAAATACAATTGCAATTCACTAGTATATGAAACATGTTAACTCAATTCTATGTTGGGGTACTCCTACTTCGATGGATGGACCCCATTAAACAGTAACTTGTGACTGCGACATTATCCACCTCCTCGCACTGTTGCTACTCTCTCTCTCGATCACATATAATGTCTGCTTGTATACACTCAATAGTGAAGCGACCACGATTGTGAACTTAATACAGCTTTCACGATCAGCATTCAAAAGTACGATGATCTTAATACAGCTCTCATTTTAAAGTATGGTGATCTAATTATTTTTTATTACCTAATTATTATTTTGGGATAAATTTTGCTTATATCATACTTAGGGTAGATCTAACAAGGTTGCCACTCTGCAGGGAAAACCTGGAAAGTACAGGGGATTTAAAAGTCGCGAAAATTAACGGGGAAAATGCTGGGAATTATGAGTTTTCTTTACAAACTGGGAAGGTACAGGGAATTTGTTTTTTTATTTTCGTGTTTCAAAAAGTGATTTCCAATCAAAGTGGATGGGATCTTTAAAGATGATATTTCTTAAGGTGCATAGCTTTTTTAAAAAGTGCTTAAATCTGCTTATTTTTGTTTTACGTTTTTTAAAAGCCCTTAAGAGTGCTTTTTTTTTATTCAGGGTTTGTAAAAAGTGCTTAATTTTCTATCTTTAAAATATAGATTTTTTCTTTGACATGTTGATTGTCATTCTAAATTACAAAAAAATGCATGATTTTCACAATTTGCTGTGAATATTTATCAGAAACTAGTTATTTTAACAGGATTATGTATAGTTTTGGAATTGTATTGATTTTATGTTTATAAATTAAGTTTCATTACTGCAATATTAATAAGTTTCATTGCTGCACAGATCCTAATTATGATTTATTTTTTTGGAAAGCGATTAAAAATATTTTTGGAGTGCTGATAAAGTACATAAAATATGCTTATTTTTCTTGAAAATCTGGCTACGCTCTCTGTTTCAGCTATACTAAACTCTTTTTATGGAGTTATCTTACAAAATCTGTTAAATTAAATTAAGATTCTACTATTGCCAAAATTGATCTTCCAATCAAAAAGAGGCTCTATTGAACTGGAATTTAAGAATCCTCCAATTTGGTTTGACACTGTTTAAGAAAATTTTAACTGGGTTGCCACTCCACTGGGAGAACAGGAAAAACCTGGAAAATGCACAGAATTTAAAAATAACTGGGAAAATGCAGGGAATTTTAAGTTTTTCTTTACAAATTGGGAAAATTCGGGTAATTTTGTTTATTATTTTCATCTTTTAAAAAATTGTGATCACTCTAAGTACAATCTATGGGATATTTATAGATATTTCAGCTATACTAAACTATTTCGTTTACTATTGCAATATTTAAGTATGTTCAGGAGTTCCTCAAGTTTTTCTAGCAATTTAAACTAGTATAGTTAGTCCAATATAGCTCATACAAGAGCACAGGGATTTTTTTTTCTTTTCAAATTTGAGTAGCAACCCTGACTTATTTTACCTTTTCAAAAGTAATAGAGTGTATTTATACTGTACAAAGAGATAGTTTATTACAAAGATGATTGTGCTCCGAATTTTTCGCTAACCGCGATCTGGAAATCCAAGGTCCAGAAGTTTCAAGAAATCATCAATCACATTTATATATATACAAATTCCTGTGTCTTTTATTTACAAATATTAGAACTAGAATTTGACGCTGGTGGTTGAGTGGTAACACTTAGCGCTCTCCTGCCACAGGTCATGGGTTCGATCCTCCGGCCGGCAAGGTTGGCTCAGCCTTTCATCCCTTCAGTGGGTTGATAAATGAGTACCAAGCATGCTTGGGAACTAAACACTTGGGGTTCCGCGCTCGGCTGGCCAACTAACCGGAACATCTGCTCCGGCACCCCAGAGCCTAAGGTCAGGAAAACTGAGATGGGCACAGTAGGCCTTGGCCCTCTCTGAGCTGCCGTACCATTGAGTTCAGTTTAGTTAGAACTAGAATTTATACTTGGCATCTTTTTTATTTGTAAATATTATTTTCTGATAGAATAAAAAATGGGATTAGAGATAAAGTAAACTTATACATAAATATTCATTTAAATTATGCTGCATATAATATATTTAGAATTTCATGTTGTGAAAATATTAATGATTTAAATACATAAAGACGTTAATTTTTTAAAATAATTTTACTCAAGAAATTTTTAGGATTTTTGAGTTAGGCTCACAATCACCCCTGTTTTTGTATAAAGGTATTCAAATTTTTTCCTTTGAGGTCTAAATTTTAAATGTTGTAAATTCTGTTTTAGTCTGAAAATGTGACTTCAGTGTCTGAAGCCTTAAAGGAAATGACTGTGAAGGAACCCATTCAAGGTTATACTTGTGCCAAAACTAAGCAAGAGGTAACTAATTTTTCCTTTTAAAACACCTGAATTTAACTTTAATGTCTTCTTATCTTCACAATTTAACTTAGCTAAAAAATAAAGTGTAATTATAATGATGAGAATTCAATTGAAAATAATAAATAAATAAAGTACTTAACGTTTTTAAAAATAATATAGAATACTCTTGGAAATTTTTCATAAATGGTAAAGAAATTATCTCTAGTATTAAAAAAAACAACATAACTGCAGAAATGAACTGCTTGAACAAATTTTTAGATTTACGATGAAATCAGTGCAAAACGCGTAAAAAAGTGATTGTTTAATGGTGCAGTTCAACTTCGAAATTCATAGTAGTATATTAAAAATATCAAGATTTTGAAAACTAAAAGAAATTTGCCTCTGTCGAAAAATAGCTTGGGATTTACAATGAAATCATCTCAAATAAGGTGCATTAAAAAGTGATTGCATAATGTGCAGTTTAAAACTCACGTGTCATAATATCAGCATAAAAATGCGGATTTTCAAATTACTCAGAAAAGTATCTCAATTACTTTTTTTTAAAATCATTTAGTTTTATGAGAAAAATTGGTACAAAGAAAGTTCGTCAAAAAGTGATTAATTAAATGTGTGGTTCAACTTTGAGGTTCATAATAATGACATAGGATTCATGATGAAATCGGTAAAAATAAATCTTGTCAAAAGATGATAAATTAAGTGTGCGGTTCATAACTTGCGATTCAGAATATCATATTAACCGTATCGGGATATGAAGAGCCTCGTGGAGACTAGTAGTTTTCAATTTAAAAAAAAAATCACTGAAATTTGTGTATCAATATCATATTTTAAATATTCAGTTTCTTTAAACCATGCAGAATTCCGTACTTTATAATCTGCAAAAGTTCAGCATGTCAAAGAGTGATGACTTAAAAGAAAAATTGTGTTTTAAAATTTGCAAAAAAAAAAAAATCCGTTTTAATTTTTTAAAAAAAATTTTAATCGTGTTTGGAGCCTCATGTGGGCTGCACATCAGCGTTTGGCCAGCCCTAAGTTCAGCATCTCTATTATAAATCAGTAATATGTCCATGTTTTAACCAGCATCGTTTAACATTTTTTGGGAGTTCTACTTTATGCATGCAGGATTTGTTTGATGATATTAATCATCCTGACATTTTTGCGTATTTACATGCTGTTGGAATTTTAACTGTATATAAATATTTTAATACACCTTCAATTTTATCCACTTTAGCAAACAACTTATCATTTTACTTTGTGTTTTATATATTGTATTCATACCTAATTTATCTGATTTTATTCGTAGCTTTTATCTGATTCTATTCACCAACTTCACCATTTTATCAGTTATAATTGTGCGACAATTAAAGTATTGTATGCACTTTGTCTATTGAACTATTTTACCGCATTGTTTGGCTCAGCATATCCTCTTTTGGACTTTGTGCCACTAAACCCTACATTCAATTCTATTATAAATCATAATTGCCAGCTCTACGGGATTTTTCACAGGACTATTGGATTTTGCCAGTTTCTCCTGATCTACTGGTTTAATTAAAATTCTCTTGATTTTTGTACATTTTAGAAAATTCCCTAAAATTGAGTAAATTTCCTAAAAAAGATCAGATTATTGCTTGCTTGAGTAATAATTAAATAATTTTTTTTTTTTTTGCTCTAAAATGTTCGGTTTATTTAAATTCAGGACTCTCTTTTTAAATTTATTTAAAAAAATCTTTTGACTATCTTTAATGAGTTAAATGACTACTAAAATTCAAAATTAGGAATAGACATAATAAACATTTCAAGTATATTTAATGTCAATCATAACTGGAAAATATTGCTGTTTTTCTATTTTGATTATGATAAAAAAAAATCCCTAAAATTCCCTATGTCTTAAAATATTTAGCACATTATGCAACAATTATTTATTTCATAATGTCTACTGGATTTTTCCCCATCCATCTTGGCAGCTATTATAAATTAAGGCATGATTAATCAATGTAAGAATCATGCTTTTTATAAAATTTTTCAAATTTATTTCAAGGTTGAGGCTTATAGTCATGTTGCTCTTCAAAAGCTGCCTCCAGTACTAATTCTGCATTTGAAAAGATTTGTATACAATAAAAATGGAGGTTGCAAGAAAGTAATGAAGAAGACAGATTATCCACTTGAACTGGAATTGAACAGAGGTATAATTATTTTCTATTTTCAAATATTTCTCTTTTTTTTTTATTTTATGCCAAACATTTTTAATTCTTTCCCTTTTTTTATAGAACTATTTTCATCAGATGTGAAGAAAAGCCATAGAAACAGAGTGTATAAACTTTTTGCAGGTATGTTTTTGTTTTAAAAAGATATTAAATGATACACGTGATATCCGTGCACCCGGAAAGTCGTGGATATCGGTACTGAACAAAATTTGTAGTGAAATGTCGGGATTTTAACTACTGTTTATTTTTAAAAAATCATGGATTTAGATCGCTGAAAAATCTCATTTTTCAAATGGACCCCATCCTCCCTGATTCACATCCCTAATTTCATTGTGTTCCGAATATCTGAATTTGTAACAAAATCCCCACTCAAGGTCATATTTTATTAAAATATAAAAAGTTTTTATCATGTTATTTGTCAGACAGCCTGTGACATTGATTTATTACATGAAGTTTGGTTTGTAGCCTCACCGTAGTTTTGATGCAAAATTTGGAAAATATATGTTTTCTATAATAAGAGAGAAGGTTGCATTGCTATTGTAAGAGGGGGGGGGGAGAAAAAAAGCCTATTTGGATAAAATAAAATTGTATATAATTTTTTTTGGTTGAATATATAGAAATTTTTTTATTCCAATAACATGGACGATTTTCTCACATTTTGTAGAAGGATAACACTAGTTTTTGTTATTCGTCAAAAAATAAATAAATAAAATTTTTGATCCATAGCAGTAACTACTGATAAGATTGAAGGTGATATCAAGCAAACCAGACTCATAAAAAAGGGGGTACTAAATGCAGTTTTTAACTATGTTATAAAATTAAAAAGATTTTTATTACCTATCAGGAATAAACCTAAATTCTATCTATATGCAATTATAAATTATAAGTATATTATTTTTTCAAAGCAATGAACTATATTAAAAAAAGATAATTGCATAACAAGTCATACAGATTTTTTAAATTTTGTTTAAAATTTAAATATTGAAAAAAATTGTTATTAAAATGTGAAAAACTTTTAATTTTCTTGTACAACACTAAACAATTTTAGTTAATTTATCAATTGTTTAATTAAATTTACACTAAACAATTTTATTGGTCATTTTTAGTTTCTTCCCATTTTTTCCAGTTCCTTCCACTGGCCTGGGAGAAATAGTTTTTTCAGGACAAAATGCCAACCATGTTTTAAAGTAAAATATTGTAATTTATTATAGCATTTTTTGAAACAAAAAGTTAAAATTATATAAATAAAAATTTTGAAGGAATTTGTTTTCAAACACTGTTAAGCAGAGGAACTCAAAATTAATGACATAAAATATATCAGACATTCACTTAAGTCTTTTGACTACAAGAGTGTTTGGGCAGGAATTTCACTAAATCCTATTTAACCAGAATCCTCTTCCTAAAAAAGCTTTCAAGCAACAGTAAAAATTCACTGAAAAGGTTCAAATATGCTGATCACTGGTCTAGTGGTTACTGAACTGAAATACAGAGCCAGCGGTTGTGGGTTTGGATCCCACCGTAGGCATGGGTGTAATTTTCTCTCTCTCTCTCTCTCTCTCTCTGTGTGTGTGTTCTATGTCCTTTCTTCTGTGTGAATGTAAGCCGCCCTATAAGCAGATTTGTGGTTGGGTGACGTGGGGGCCACTATTCTGGTGCCATGGCTGAGACCCAGGTGCCCACTGGGTAATGATAACAGGGTTCTTAGTGTTTTTAAAAAGTGCTTAAAGTGTTTTCCTTTACTATGTTGATTTTCGCTTCAAATTATGCAAAAAGACGCAGTTCACATTGTTCTATTTAACGTTTGCACAATTAATTTAACCCCAGTCCATTTCGGCATATTGTCAGTCCATAGGGTATGGAAACGCCATTCGTTTTACACGATTCGAAATTTCATCCTTTTTGACCATTGTCAAAAACAATGCCAAAAGGTTTTGGCATGATGGTTAAGACACGATAAAACTGTCAATTGTCAAAAACTTTCCAACTCTGCTCAATTATATTTTTTTAAAGTGCTTAAAAGGTGCTTATTTTTTGTTGAATAATTTGGCTACGCACCCTGGATAAGAGAGTAGCAATTTTGGCATTTATGAAACCAGTGGGAAATAAACCCAAGTGCCCATCAAGTAAAAAAAGAAGAAAAAAAAGGTTCATATATATGCATTGTAGAATAAATTATAGAAGTCTGCTTTAAATTAACGCCAAATTTAAGTTCAATATTATAATAGTTTATTAACAATTCTATATTTAACCATTTCAACTAAGATGTTCCTAGCTTTCTCCTAAATATTTCTTCTGTAGCTCTTATATTTTAAATTCTAATTCTATTTTTTGTAAATTAAACTATTCTGGAATATATTCATTTCTACCGCACAATAAACTTTTTTACATTTTAGTGATGTACCACGACGGAGAAGAAGCCATTAAAGGTCATTATATATCAGATGTGTACAACCCTGGAAGTCAGACCTGGTTCCGGTTCGATGACCGGCAGGTGACGGCCGTCACAGAAGCTCAAGTCCTCTCCCACAGTCCTCCCAGAGTTCCTTATTTGCTATTCTACCAAGATGGTGCACATATCTGCATGTGATGATTTTTTTTTAAAAAAAGAAACTAATTACCTATAACTATTGTGATATATATATGCACGTGTCTGATAACGACGTATCGGTCGACTGTAAAAAAACGAAACAATTTTTCTCCTATATCATGGACGGTAAAAGATAATTGTAAATTATCTTTATTGATCACTTATTAATGTGGTTTACTTATTTTGTGAACAAGCGACTCATTCAAAAAAAGTAGAGGTCCATCTGCCTTGAGGAACACTATTTGTGAGCAAAGTTAGTTTTAACTGAGTTCGTCGTTGAATGTTTCATTCAAGATCATTTTGTACGAGCGAGTGACTCGTTTTGGAATGAACATTCAGGATTGCGCATTCAGTTGCATGCACGATCACTATCTGAAAATGACTTAACTGTAAACTAATTTTTTTATTGAATATATTAAAAAACCAAATGAAAGTATGATAATTTGCTGTTGCGTGAGGCGCTGACGATTAAAAAAAATACTCCAATTCCATCTCACTGTTTATTGGTGGAAAAACTGTGATTCATCTTCTGAGCAGAGCTCATATATTTTATGTGCAGTTGTGGTTTGATGATTGTGATTTAGTTCTTGGGAGAAAATATTTTTTAAAAACTGTATAAATTTTGAACTGGCATATGGGAAACTAAATAATACTCCAGTGTGTCTGTTTGTACTTTAGTTTATTGGGTGTGAGAGATGAGTATTGTTATAAAAGTAGTAGTTAAAAAGCTAGCCATTGCATATTTTCTTATTGTAAATAACTTTTTAGGGCTTATATGATGAATTTTCTTGAATGAAGTCTGCGTTTGTGGTATTACTTATATAGCTCCTCTCCCCCCTCTCAATCATATTTAAGTTGAATGTATATGCAGAAGTGCCAACTCTTATAGGGTGCGTATCGTTTTTAAAAAGTGCTTAAATGTGCTTATTTTCATTTCTTAAAAGCCCTTAAAGGTGCTTTTTTCATTGGGTGTTATTAAAAAGTGCTCAATTTCCCCTCTACCATTGATTTTCGCCACATATTATGCAGAAAGACTCTGTTAATATTGTTCTATTCGCCGTTTGTGCAATTAATTCAACCCCAATCTATTTCGGTGTACCATCGGTCCTTAGCGTATGAAAACGGCGTTCATTTTATGATTCAAAACTTCAGGATTTTTGAAAATTGTCAAAAACTATGCCAAAATTTTTTTTGACATGACAGTTAAATCCGGATAAAACCATCAATTTTCAAAAACTTTCCAACCCTGCCTAATTATATTTTGTTATAAGTGCTTAAAAATATTTTTGAGTGCTTGAAAAGTGCTTAAAAGATGCTTATTTTTTGTTGAAAAACTTGGCTATGTACCCTGGTCCCCCCATAGCTGCCAACTCTACTAGTTTTTGTACATTTTAGAAGATTCCCTAAAATTGAGTGAATTTCCTTAAAAAAATCCCTATCGAAATGGAATTTTTGTGCAGATTATTGCTTGTTTGAATATTTAAATAAGTGTCACTGATACATAATGAAGCAAACCCCGTTCATAAAATTCAGTTAACTGTATTTGATGAATTGAATGCCTATTACTATTAAAAATTATGAATAAACATAATACATAACATTTCAAGGTCATTTAATGTCATCATAACCGGGGGGGGGGAATGCGCATTTTTTCTTTTGATGAATATAAAATTCCCTATGTGTAAAATATTTAGTATATTTTGTAACAATTATCATGAAATTTATATTTATAAAATATACTGGATTTTTCCTATCTGAGTTGGCAGCTATGCAATTAATCCGTCATTATTATGATTTCATTGTCAAGATTACAATCTTATGGTTGAGTAATTGAAATTACCATTTTTGGGAACTTCCATAATAATCTGTTTAAAAAAAAGTCTGTTTCTCTCATTACTACCAATGATACCCCTTAACTAACATAACTTTGTTTGCAACTAATCTACAATAATTTTTTGCTACTCCTTAGATGACACTAAAAATAAATAAGGAAAGAAAAAAATTACTTGATAAAAGAAAATAATGAAACCCTATTTTCCCATTTTCAACAAGCTATTCTTAAATTTAATCTTCTCTTCGTTTAAAAAAATCAAAGATTATACACTCAAATCTAAAATTTGAGCAAAAATTTTCATTGTATTAGTTTAACCAAAAACTAAAATATTAATCTCAAGTAATCAATTTAGTTTTATCATATTATGAGGAAGCATAAAATTTCAGTGTTGTGTCATTTTTAATTTAGTATTTTAAGTGTTATTTTATTTAATGATAACCTTAATTAATATTATATACCTATGTAGACCAAAGTAGTATAAATACCATGAAATTGCTCAGGGTCGCCACTGCACAGGGGAATCCTGTAAAATACAGGGAACTTAAAAATCACCATGGAATAACAGGAAAAATGCAGAAAAATTTTTTTTATTATTATTATTCTTTACAAACTGGGAAAATACAGGGAATTTTGTTTCTTATTTCCGTCTCTTAGAAAAAGGTGGCCACTCAAGGCGTGTATTTAAGAATGATATTTCAGCTATATTAAAAAATTTTATTTACTATAGCAATATATACTGGATTTTGTATGTTCCTTTTTTCCTCTTAAGTTTTTCCCTAAATTTAAATTAGTATAGTTAACCCAATATAGGTCACTCAATAGCACAGTGATTGTTGTGCTTTCTGTTAATATATTGTGTATAATATGTACAGGGAAAACACGGAGAATTATTTTTTTCAGATTTGAGTGACAACCCTGTTGCAAACATTTGAATTTGGTAAACACTAATTTGTATACATTTCTGTGTTGCTGTATTTCTGATTTACTGATGGGTAGTTAGGAAAGTTGGCACCTCTGTATTACTCCTCTCCCCCGCCTCATTATCAGTTAAGTTAAATGTAAAAATTTTATTTGCCTTCTAGATAGGTATCAAACTTCTCAGGAAGATTATATTGTGATATATTAAAGAAATTCTTTAGATACATCTAATAAATTATCATAAAATGATTGCATAAAGCTAAATTGAATCTTTAAAATTGTAAAAATTTGTATGAAAGGATTTACCATTCTTAATTTTTTAACTTGTTTGGTTTTAATATTTTTCATCCATGCATATTCATTTCTTTGAAAAGCTTTTGAGTTTGTATTTGTAGTGAGTTTTTAATTCTTTAAACAATTGTATTTCAAGTAAGTATATATACATACATATATGTACAGTAGAAGATCTTTTAAATACAAACCCTGAATATTTTGCATTATGTAGGCAGCAGATATATATAATATACACTCACACCATTCACAAAAAAAAAAATAATAAATTGTTTTGCAGAAATTTTTTTCGTATTGCTTTGTTTTTATATATGTCTTATAAATAATATGGTTGAAGTTGCATTTGATTTTCAAGCATTGAGAATTGAATGGACAGCTGAAATTTTTATATTTAGAAAAAGAAAAATTATTCCAATGTTTGCATTAAAATTAGCAACCTAGAAAAAAAGCAAAGCATTAGCTAGTTTTATATCTTCAAAAATAAGCTAAGTCTAATTAAATACATTAAGATTCAAGCACTTTTAAGAAAAGGCTGTGATTTTTTATTAGAATTTTGATTGAAATTAGTTACAAGAGTCAATAAACTGCCTGTAAAAAGTTTTTTAATTAAGATTTTGGTGAACAAGCTTGCCATTGGAAAATAAAACGAGGCCAAAATAACTGTTTTCAAGAAAAGGCTACTAAGGGGCGGGACTAATTTAACCAAAATGTAAGTAAAGAAGACTATTTTGTAATCATTTTGAAAATTTTCTTTTTTTTTATCAATTGGCTATCAAAGAAAGAATTTTTGCGTTTTTATACCCAGTGCAGATAAGAATTGGTACCTTTTTGCTGTATCCATATCCAAATATGGGACTTCGTTATTTTGATTTAATATTACATGATTAATTTTTTACTTAAACATATTTTATTAAAAAGTGGTTTATTACTTATAAAATGTGGCAGAATTTTATTAGTTCTTCGTAATATTGATTTAAATTTGAATGAAAAATGATTGTTTTAATGATATATTCTGTTATGTTTTCTCTTAAATGCCCTTTCGTACAAATTTTTATATAACTAAAGGAGTTGAACTTTTTTGCGTATCCCCAAATTTTCTGTTTATTTTTTATACTTCTCGTAATATACCTCTCAATAATTACTCACTACTTGATTGCCTTAGATTGCATCTTTAATCATTACTCTATCCTTTTTCCATCCGCATTATAATGGTCATTTTTTATGTTAATCTTATTTTGCTGTAATCGAGAAGTTCAAAAACAACAAAATTAGCCAAATTTCTTAATCTATATATTAAATAATTTAAAAAAATTCTGTAAGTAATACAGGTGCTTATGGACAGATTCCAAACGCTTCATTAAAAGAAACAAGAAAGAATCTGCTAAATGCTTATGTTTTGAAAAGAAGGGGGCGGGAATTGATTGAGCGGCAAATAACAAGTATTTGTGAAACTGTGTATAAATGATGTATGTGAAAATGAATACATGAAAAAATCAAATAGTTAATTATTGACACAAAAAAAATTTGTGACTCTTTTTGAAAAATAAATATTTTGGAAACAAGATTATTCCATGCTCACTAGTTTTAATGTACTTTGAAATCATTTTTCATTTAACACATTATAGTTTATAATTCTTAAAAAATTGTAACTCAACATTTAATTATTATTTTTGCATTAGCAAATTAAATGGAGTTGGTATGATGTCTATATTTAAGACGTTGAGATTAGCATTTTTATATATTTACATTTCTTACATTCTAAAAACAGTTTACGTTGGACAGCACAAAATGTAAATTTATGCCTCCTTTTCAACAAATTAAATTTTAAGGAGTTTGCATTTTGTGAATTTCAGATTAAATTATACAGGGAATTTAAAAATCACTTAAAATAACAGGGAAAATGCAGGGAATTTTGATTTTTTTTCCCTTTACAAACTGTGAAAATACAGGGAATTTTTTTCTTCTTATTTTTGTCTTTTAAAAAAAGGTAGCTACTCAATTCGTAATCTGTGGGATATTTAACCATGATATTTCAGCTATACTAAACTATTTAATTTACTATAGCATTATTTAAGTATATTCAGCTGTTCCAGCAATTAAAACTAATAAATATGGTTAGCCTAATATAAGTCACTCAAGAGCGCAGTAATTGTTGTTTCCTCTTAGTTNTTTTTTTCCTTCTTATTTTTGTCTTTTAAAAAAAGGTAGCTACTCAATGCGTAATCTGTGGGATATTTAACCATGATATTTCAGCTATACTAAACTATTTAATTTACTATAGCATTATTTAAGTATATTCAGCTGTTTCTTCCAGCAATTAAAGCTAATAAATATGGTTAGCCTAATATAAATCACTCAAGAGCACAGTAATTGTTGTTTCCTCTTAGTTCAGTACATAACTCGTTATCCGGAAATCAAAATCGGAACAAAATTCGATAAATTTTACCGCCGTTTAAAAATAAATAAAAAATTTCCCTCGTAAGATTTTAGGGTTTTTCTTTCTTTTTTGAAAGATGTTTACCTTACCATCATTTTGGACATGATCATTAGTGTATTACTTCATCGTTTTTTCTTCATTTTAGGATTATTTCCAAATATTATTTTTTTTAGTTGGGTTTAACAATAAAAAAAACGGCTTTTTGTAGCGATTCTGAAAACCGGAAAAATCAGTTATCCGGAATAGCGATGGTCCNATTGTATATAATATGTACAGGGAATTTTTTTCCTCCAGATTTGAGTGGCAACCGTGTTATATAGTGTGTCTTTAAAGAAAAAAATACTTTATTTGGAATCATTAAATAAGACTGTGTTAGTGGAGGAAAACTATTTTTTATCTCTCTGGCAATTATTTTGGAGACTATTTTTTTTTTCATATCTAAAGCATAGCTGTCAACTCTACTGGATTACTGGTTTAATAGAATTTCTCCCGGTTTTTGTGCGTTTTAGAGAATTCCCTAAAATTAAGTTTCCTATAAAAGAAAAATCCATATTGAAATCTAATATTTCACAGTTTATTGCTTGCTTCAATGTTTAAATTAATGTTACATAGTGAAGCGAGCTTCATTTATAGTATTTAGTTTTAAAGCATAGCTATGCTTTCTTTTTTTATATTTTCAGTTTATTCGGAATTTTCTTTTTAAATTAATTAATACTCGTATCCGCACGGATTTGTAGCGCCATCTAGAAAAACTTGTAACTTAGAGAGAGAGAGTGTGTGTGTGTGGAAGGAGAGCAGTAAAGAGCTACAAAAAAGCTCTCTTCCAAATATTAATAAATAAATATTGTGCAAATTTACAGTCCGCTAATTTCTGTTTATTGAGCGAGTTCATATTTACCTGAGCGTCGACAATACTATCAATAATAAATTACTATCTTAAATTATGAGTTAACATAAGAGAAAGCATTCCAAGTTCATTTAATGTCAATCACAGCCGGAAAATATTGCAAATTTTTTCTGTTAATGATAATAAAAATCCCTAAAGTTCCCTATGTGTAAAATATTTAGTATATTTTGCAACAGTTAACATGAAATTCATATTATTTCATAAAATCGACCGGATTTTTTTCCTATCTGTGTTGGCAATATATTGATCTTCTATTGTATATAATGATGTGTTATTTTTATTTATCCCAGGTTTAAAGGCTTTTGAATGAAGTTTATATTTTCTTGATTCAAAAATTAATAACCTGTTGGGTATATTCTAAGATTTATGAAGACTTTTAAAATACATTTTCATAGAGAAATATTACATTTTATAGAAAATAAATTAAAATCACTGAGTTAAAAATTTCATCAGATATGCAAAGTGTATAATGCAAAATGATTTCACTTTCTGGAAAAAGTTTGGATGCCCTCTAAGTTTTGGAATTAATGTTCATTAAACACATTTCATTGAATATTATCTTTCTAGAAACAAACTACTTCTTAATTAATGCTTAATTAGTTAATTAACTGCTTCTTGGCTTTAATTCATTTCAGAAAATAACTGTACCGAATTATCTAAATATAAAATGACTTTTAAGTTATAGGTTTAAATTGTCTTATTTTTTAATAGCGTTCATTTTTATAATGTGCTGTTCTCCAAAAAGTTTATATAAAGTTGGAATGCTGTTTCTGTTCTTGCCTGGGGGTTATAACAATACCTGTTAATAACTTACTTATTGCTGTAATAAAAACTATACTATTTGCCTTAGAGATTTTTTGTAATAAAATAAAAACAAATTTATTAAATTTTTTATTTTATGTTTTTGTCTAAGTAAAAATAGTATTTCAGAAAAGAAAAATTAAATTATTACGGATCCTTCCCTTCCAGAGATTATGAAACAAATTTATTTTTTACTTCTTGGATTATTCAAATCTTACGTTTCTGAGTAAAGACTGGTTATATATTTTATTTTGACTATTTTCTTATAGTATCAAATCACATTATTATATTAATTCAAGTAAGTTGGGGGGAAAGTTACATTTTCCTTAGCAAATTATCTTATTTTCAAATGGCAATGTTACAAGCAAGTCATTGTTGCTTTCGAAGGTACCATTTATGACAAATGGTAAACAAAAATGTTGCTAACATAAATAACAAGTAGTCAAAAAAAATGCCTCAGCTTGCATGTTGGCCTATTTTTCTTAATAGTTTAATCAAAATTATTTTAACCTTTTACTTGCTTAATTCAGATCCATATATATTAATTTTAGGGTGCATAGCGTTTTTAAAGGTGCTTATTTTCGTTTTTTTAAAGGTCCTTTTTTCATTGGGTGTTTTTAAAAAGTGCTTAATTTTCTTTTTTTTTTTTCAAAATGAGATTTTTCCTTTACCATGTTAATTTTCCCTACGAATTATGCAAAAAGACACAGTTCACATTGTTCTATTTAACGTTTTCGCACTTAATTCAAACCCAATCAATCTATTTCGCCGTATTGTCAGTCCGTAGCATATGAAAATGTCCTTCGTTTTACATGATTCAAAATTTCATGATTTTTGACAATTGTCAAAAACAATGGCAAAAGGTTTGTTTCCCCCCCCCCTTCGACATGACGGTTTAAACAGGATAAAACCGTCAATTGTCAAAAACTTTCCAACCTTGCCTAATAATGATATCTTTTTAAAGTGCTTAAAAGGTGCTTTTTTTGTTGAATAATTCGACTATGCACCCTGAATTTTAAAAATTTTGTGAACAACATTCTTGTCTTTCGAATGACAGGGTTTGCCACTTCTCAGGGAAAGCCTGGAAAATGCAGGGAATTTAAAAATCATCTAAAATAACAAGGAAAATGCAGAAAATTTTTAGTTTTTCTCTAGAAACTGAGAAAATACAGGGAAATTTGTTTCTTATTTTTGTCTTTTAAAAAGTAGTAACCAACCAAAGAACAATATTTAAGGATGATATTTTAGCTATATTAAACTATTTCATTCACTATAGCATTATTTGTTATAAGTATGTTCAGCTGTTCCTTTCTTTTCTCTTAAGTTTTTTCATCAATTATAACTAGTATAGTTAGCCTCATACAAGAGCACAATGATTGTGTTTTCCCTCTTAATATATAATGTGTACAGAGAAAAAACAGGGATTTATTTTTATCCTGATTTGAGTAACAACTCTGAACTAATAGATTTATGCATTCAGCGAATATATATTTGTTTATATTGAAAATTTATATATATTACGAAGATTTTTATGCATTTTAAATTTCTGTATGATAAGCTGAATATTACCAACAAAAAAAAAAAAACTTCTAAAATTATTTTTTGCATTGATTATATTAAAAGAAGTTCTTGAAATTTTTTTTCTTCTCAATTATGCATATGTTTTGAATTGTTCCGGTGGTTAGCCAAGATTTATACATGAACTTTTGCATGGCTGAAATTCATCATTTTACAGTCCTACCAGAGTTGGCCAAATGAAGAAATCTTGCATCGAATGATGGATTGTTCAACGAATGTCAGGCAGTGTTACATAAACGTCGATACCGCTTAAGTGTTTTCCTTACAAGTAGTTTTCATATTTGATGACTTTTTAAGGAAAAGTTTATGAATTTAATATTAACTGTGTATGAATACTGTTTGTCTTCTAACAAACCAAAGTTCGTATAGAAATGAGCTCACTGTCTGAAAGTTTTTGTGCCCACGATATAGTTTACATTTACTTTTTACACTAAACATATGGGCAATTCAAACTGTAAACAGACGTTGTATTTGCAATCTTTAAAAACAGCTAAAAATATTGAAACAGTTATAGCAATTTTTATTTAAAGAAAATTAGTCTTCATGCACTCCAATTTTTAGAAACTTTTATATCTTTAATTTTTTTTAAAAAATAATTTCTAAAAATTGACGTAAGTTTAAATGATATCAAGACTTATTTTCACAAATACAGTCGGACTTCTATTTAACGAACTTCCATTTTGCGATTTTTTTCGAGGGTAAAATAACTTCCCAATTACGAAGTGAATTTTCTATTTAACAAACTTTTCTGTGAGATCCACTTTCCCTATATATTTCAAAACATTTTAATCTTGTTAACGCATTTTGTGGGAGGAAATGACCTTGAATTGTTTTTCGTT